ATATATATATATATATATATATATATATATATATATATATATATATATACATACATATTTACCAGTATATATATACATACTATACACAAAGATGGTATGATGCAATGCCGCATTGATAGAGATATATAACAATCCTCCCTGACCTGGCCTCGAACCTGTTATAGATATAGGTGTATACAGTGTACACACTTATACAGTGTGCATATACAATTGTATACGTTATCATCACTATAGATAGTAAATATCATGCATACATTTATAACAGCATATAATGTACACACATATACAGATGTATATAATATAAACACATAGTTACACATGTATGCATTCCACACACATACTAGCCATGGCATTAATGTATGAATCGTCAGTAGAAGTATATGTATGGACAAGCCCTGGCACCACACAGTCCCAAAATATCAACTTTAAATGTAGAAAAGGTATGAATGACTATGAGTATCTTCACAATACAAGAAATGTATTTGACCGGTTTCGAATTATATCTTCGTCATAAATACATACAACAAAGGAATTACAGAGTATATATATATCACACATGAGCTGACGAGCTACCTGACTGTGACCCACTCGTTGACCGTATAATTGCTGCCGCGACCTTGGATAATTTGAACCTGCCCGATGATGCGTTGATGTTATTTTCCGTCGCGATGTAGGCAGCTTCCATGATTTTTCTTTGCTGCCTGTTTAGTCCTCCATGGACTATTTTTGCTTCTTTCCAATTAGGTAGATGTCCAGCTTCATCTACATGGACCACCATGGCGTTGGAAGTCCTATGGTGACGGATGTCAGCTCGGTGTTCGCTGATCCTTCTGCTGAAGCCACGGCCTGTTTCACCAAAGTATGCTGTGTCGCATCTGCTGCAGGGTATGCGATACACAGCACTGTTAGTGTTGTTATCAGGCTGCTTTCTCTCTCGTATCATATCATGTATCTTATTTCCGGATGTAATGGCGATTCTCACTGTGTTGCCGAAGTATCTGCTGATCGCCTGGGAAACGTTGCATGACGGTAATACGAGAAAATCATTAGAAGAAGGTGCAGGATTAGATCTTGTGAGTATACTCTCATATATATATATATATATATATATATATATATATATATATATATATATATATACTTTGTAATTCCTTTGTTGTATGTATTTCTGACGAATCTATAATTCGAAACCGGTCAAATACATGTCTTGTATTGTGAAGATACTCATTCTCATTCATACCTTTTCTACATTTGTCGACATGAATACGGTTCATCAACTTTAAAGTAGGAGTTAATCCTACATTCAATCTAAGTTGTTGGACTAGCGTACACCTCGTAAAAAACACATCACCATGGAAAGTGTGGTAGATGGATAATGGAAAGTAAATTTGTTTAATAGAAAATACCTTATTTCATCCTGTGCGGTCTAACTTAACATTGACTGTGACATAATAAGGTTTCTTATGAGCAGAAAAACGTGTCTGTGGCACGTAAAATTACATGGTTTAGTCTGATTAATACTTTGCTCGGAGTAAGAAATGTGTATTGTATATGCGTGCGCGCGTGTGTTTGCATGTTTGTGCGTGTGTGTGTTTACGCCCGTGCATGCTTGTGTCTGCAACCTTTTTGTACTGAATTTACCTATATTTTTTATCATTTGTATTTTTTACCTGAGAAACATCACTCTTTATGGGCAACGACGCTGCTTCCTTCTCCAACATCCGCTCACGTTCGCCCATGAGCTCCTCCCTCTCCTTTGCCACTTCGTCTCTTTCCTTCATGACCTTTTCTTTCTCCTTCGCGACCTCTTCTTTATCTTTCTTGGCCTCCTCAAGCTGGCGGGTTACCTCCTCCCGCTCCCGGAGCAGTGTCTCCCTCTGCTTGGACACCAGGAGTAGCCGGTCCTGTCAGGTCAGAAGTTCTCTGAATTAATCCAGTAGACTTGATGTGTATGTACGCGTGTTGAGTGTGTGTATATGTGTGTATTGATTTTCAAAGCAGTATTTCAGGCAATTTCAGAACTATCCATTAAATATCTATCGACGGTTTACCTATCTTGAGATACTGGGGACTTCATCCTATTACAAAGCCTCTGCCACACTCCTACAATCCTTAACCCCTTCTATTGCATACCCTCATACACACAAACACAACACTTATGGATCTACAGTGTAGTTCTGAAATACAAATGACCACACTGTTCCTAAATCACATTTATATATAATCATTAGATTATCAGATCTGTAGCTTTAATTTGTTCCTAATAGTTCCTTATCAGAACCTCTTGCTTCCCTTTTGCCTATCATGTAAAGAGTTCTAGAGTCAAAAATGACGCACATACACGCACACAAACAGAAGCAAACGCAGTCATTAGTACAAATGAAAAATGTTCAGCACCTCCATCTTTTGTATAGATTCTTCATTCTTCTTTAGTTTCAGCAAGAGTTCTTGTTTTTCCTGCTGAACTGCTTGTATTTCTCTTTCATTGGACTTGCATTTC